TGTAACTCCCCAGCAGGAGCCTTCAGGGGGAGGGGGATTGAAGTGAGGTGACCGGGAAAGGAGGGGGGAGGCAGCGGGCCACTAAGTGTAGTGACGAACTGAGGGGAGGGGAGGGGAAAGTATAGAGACGAAGAAAGAAGGTGAGGTGAAAAATTGCCCACTCTCCCTCCCCCCCTCTCCCTCTCCCAAGAGACCGCCTTGGATTCGCCTATGACAGCAACAGTACAGCGTCTCAAAGTGCTGTCTGTATACAGTTATGCATGTGTGTATGTTTTTTCAACAATTCATCATCACCTTTCATGTACTTTTAAATTTCGCATACGACCACGAACAAACTGAAATCACAAAGGCTTTCCGCCATTTCAACTGGGAGCCTGAAAAGACAGAAAGCTGAGATTATAGGAGGACTAACGTGGGAGGACTCACGTACGGGCACGGAAAAGTCCAGGAGAAAAATTTTTTAACCTGGATACTCCGTTTCAGTAAGCATGAACTAAATTGTTGGTATCATAAGCATAAAGTCACCGGTCTGCCGATGTGCACATTTCTGCAAACTGTTCAATGAACATTAATCAGTTGACTGGAGAGCACGAAAGTAAATCCACTTTCTTTGATTAACAAGCAGAGCTCAGTGATTAAAATGCAGTGATCGTTGCGCAAATTTAGGGACCCTTACAAGAACACATGTTATTTGGCCAGAGTACAATCAGAAGCGAAAAATTGGAGTATAGCAGTTTTTGAGGTTAAAAAAATGCGATGCATTCTTCGCATCCCTTTGATTTGGTCGTCGAATGCTGCTTGAATTTCGATCGGAGCTCAGGATGTTAAATCCACATGTCCAGCGTCGTTTTGACCGGTCCCGTTGTAATACTCTGTTCTCATTACTTTGTCTCTCTTCATCCAAGCGTTTTTCTGGAGAAGACAAATATAAAAGCAATTCAAAAACCACTACTTCATGCATCAATAACATTTAGGTAATAACCCATTTTAAGAGAAGATTGCTGATAGAAGCAGAGGATTACTGATAAGCAGTGGTCATCGGCTATTTGGTAAGCATGTGAAGAATTTGCTCGATGTATCTGAAGAAAAATACGAAGTAAATGATGCGTTTTTATTAAAATAATTAAATATTTCAGACATACCATCACTGATAT